TAGTTTTGTTTAAAAGTACACATTTCAAACATTCTATATATTTCTCAGGTATTTGAGGCAAAGCTTATACGCTGAGTTTGAGCTCATTTATGAGGCGAGCTCCAGTTTACGCGCAAGCACGGAGCTCCTGAGAAGTCCTGATTATATTGCCTGCTATATTTACTTCTTATTTATTAAATTCAGGCAATTAATTATTTTTTTTAAACATAAATATGTCTTGAACTAAATCGTTTTCTTTAATGACTATACACGTAGGCCTATTAGCCTACAGTACAGAGAAATTTAATGTCGGAGCGGGATTTGAGTGAACGCCGTCTTACCGGTGAGCATGTGGGAAATTAACCATGGTTTTATTATAGTAAAAGAGTAGTAACCACAGTTTTTTGGCAGATGTATAACCACAGTTTTACAAAAAATACCATGGTTAAACTATGGTTAGTGTAGCAAAACCATGGTTAATTTGTAGTTACCATGGTTTAACTATAACAACCATGGTTTTTTGGTTTTATTTGTAGAAAAACCATGGTTAATTTTCGTAGAGGTACGATTTTCGAACAATCATCGAATATTATTTTGCTTGATATGCCAATCCTTAATATTTTGGTTTTTTAAATGCCAACACTTTTTCATCCGGAGGGTAGTATTACTTTTGGTTTGCACAGTGTAATACACAGAATTGACTGCTCTGCTACCAGCCTCTGTCATGTACTGTGTGGAGCTTGTGAGTTGTGACTATTGCAAGCGCGCAGCTGAGAAGACAGTGTCGCTGTCAAATCTGTCCCTTGGAAAAGTAACGTTGTGGCGAATTGAAAAAGTAACTACGTTTCGTTTCCAAAATTTCAGTAGTAGCGTGTTACACTACCTTTTACCCGAAAAAGTAGTTACGTTACTGTTAAACACAACACTGCTAGCGACGCAGTGTCTCATTCCCTGTTCTCAGGGAACAGAGGTTACAGTCGTAACCTAGACGTTCCCTTTTGAAAGGGAACTCACACTGCGTCGATGGCGCTATTGGGCAACGATGTACAATCCCACCATGCTGAGGGGAGTGTATGCCAAATTATGGCTGTGACAAACGTCAGAAATGGCAGTTTCACTGAAATGCCAAAAACACTCCACCTTCAGGTCACACACAGGCTGTCAGTGACAGTATTCCCTACGGCCACTGCCCAAGTTATAAGCCTCAAAGAGGCCTCCGAAAAAACGAAGGCCTACCAAGGCCAAATCAAAGGCTTGGAACCAACAACTTGTCCTTCAACCTTCCGACCAGATTTAGGGAGCTAAGTATTCAACAGAGCTATCCTCAGACAGATTCTGGAACACTATGCTCAACCTGATTAGTATTGACAAAGCTCTGGGCTAGACTCAGGGATGCTCCATGGGGCCTGCAATATCTTTGCAATGCTAAGCATCCAGCTCGTTGTGGAGCCGCCTTCAAGGAGGCCTGAAAGGCCTAACTACTTGATAGCGATGATATTAGCAGAGCTAGCCTCAGAACCCAGGTGCTTTCACAGTTTACATCTCAGTGGGCTTAGTCATACTTATTTAACATTGCCAACAGGCAGTGTACTCGGCAGAAGTGCTATCGACCCTTTAAAGCAAGGGGAGTACAATCTTACACTACCGGACTATCGAGGAGGCCAACAGTAAAGCCTACAGCTTCGAATGTCACGGATGCCAGCCCCGGGCAGTGCTTTGGCTCTAAGGGAGCATACTCAACCTTCCCAATGGGAGGGAGTGACTAATCTGTCTCTACCTGAGCTTGGGTGGTGAAGGGTGATAACATACGAGCTACAGGTAGCAAAGTATTCTAATGTATGACCCTAACAAGGGGAGCACTACCGCATGACCCAGAGGGATGTATTAGGGTCCAGGCCTAAAATCTTGTAAGACAGATTTTATATTCTCTACTAAACCCAAGGGAATGGAGGCCTCGGTAAGTGGCCGACGGCATTCAACTTTATGACTTGAATTCTTATCCCAGCCACTATACTCGATGCTATTAAGGGCAAAGGCCTGAGTGACTGCTTCTTACTCTCTAGGGAGAAAGACCTGACAAAGCCCATGAGATATCTGCATGGGAGGCTTTTTGAAGATAACCTGTTACCTATGCTGCTATCTACCCTGTAACACCACTAGCATTTACACCTAATACAAAAAGGTGGGCCTTGGCTAATGACTCTTGTAGTAAGAGGAGGCCGGTGGTAGGAAAAACTAGATTTACAGGAATAAAATCTCCTGAAGGTCTACGGAACCTACACTCAGATACTGAGAGGCTCAAGACGAGAATGCTTAGCAGACTGGCACAACAAATCCTTGATACTAAGCCTAAGCCAGATATCAAGGCGGCCCCATGAAGGCCGACACTTGAATATATATTTCTGAAGTTCAGAGCTATCATCTCAAAATGACTCTCTAAAGTGAGAGATGAACTGCTCCTGTAGTATAAGGTGGCCATCAAGGTGGCCCGATGAGGCCCAACTAGAGCTGTAACGATACACCAAACCCACGATTCGGTTCGTATTGCGATTTTTGACCCACGATTCGATTCGTAGTAAAGTAGTAAAAGCTGACACAAAGAACCGGCAAAAGTAATGATTATGAATATGTCAAATATAGCAAGGAGACATTTTAATTGTTTATTAATAAAGTGTTTTCTGTCAGTGTCTGCAAAGATGAAGTTGCGATGCTGACTCGCGATCTTCGCAGTAGTGATCGCGCCAGAGAGAAATGCACTTTTCATACGGATTACATAAGCAGAGAGCAGTCTGTTTTCTTTCGTTTTGAATTGTTCGGTTTAAAAGTAGACATTTCAATATAGATATATTTCTCAGGCCTATAGCCTACACTGGGTTTCGATTCATATGAGACGAGCTCCAGTTCAAGCACCGGCGCCCCCATGTCGTGATTATCTGTCTGCTATATTTACTTCTTATTGATTAAATCCAGGCAATTGGTTGATGAAACATTTATTAAAATTGAGATACAATTAATACAAAACGAAATTCAATTTAAAGAAAGTCTTTGTGCTTTCTGTTTGAGGTCTCTGAAAGTTTTAGTGCCGCTTCCAGAGAACTATCACGAAATTGTTTTTTACTCTTAAAATGCGAACACGAATAATAAAACAAAATGAATATTTTATGTTCTGGGAGAGCCAACCCTTCTTCATCCGGTGGGTAGCCTACTATTACTTTTGGTTTGTACTGTGTAATTTACAGAATTATAAAAAATATATATATTTTTTGCTCCTAAAGATGAAAGATGTTTTGTGTCGCGTCCGTGTACGCGTGTGTATTTCCCTCATATTAAATATAAAATGCATGTGTAGACTTATATTTTTCTAATGTCTGGACATGTACTGGACTTTATTAAGGGAGTAGACTATGGATATATAAACAGAAGTGTCAATATATTGGTATTAAATGCATTTTCAGAGAATTTATATTTCAAGTTTTGGCTGCAAATTTCACGTCCATAACGCTGAAATTGCCAAATTTTAAATAATTTATCCTCAACTAGTTTTGTGGTGTTGGTAGGTCTACGTATTTTATAATGTTAACTTCAAATGATACTAATAGTAATTTAAAGATGTGGTAGCATTGGATCTGGACGGGCAGGATAACTCTGGGTGTTGGAAGGGGTGTGATCGCGATTCTGCCTTTCTCACATCGCGATACAGGATCGTGGACCTGAGTATCGCTATTTCGATTTTATATCGCGTATCGTTACAGCCCTAGGCCCAACGCTTAATCTGGAGCTTGACAGAGAGGTGTGTTCTCAGTAGAAAAACTCCCGATAGGGAGGAAGCCATCTCACGCAGAAATGTCTGTTTGATGCTCGGATGAACGGTGGCCTCACCAGAAATTTTTAGTATAATAAAGCCAACCTGTTCACTATACAGATTGGCACTACCCACTATATAAGCCTGACATCTCTAATAAGAGGAGGCCAATGGGAAGTGTTTGCAGAGCCTACCTATATATGGGAACTTCAAGGCCCTTTTTTTACCTATCCTATAAAAACCCTACCTAACACACATCTAATACTTTCTAACAGGGAACTGAGGTCTACTGTACAACCTTACAAAAAACTCTCGAAAGGGGAGGAGACCTACAGAGCTCCACCTGCTGCCCGTAGAGCGATGGCCTAAACGAAATTCGCAAATGGAGGTCTATCACCATAAAGAGCTCGAAAGAGCCCACTTACCACCAAACCTACAAAAAAAAGGGTTCCAACTAGAAGAGGTTCCAACACTTATTGATTAACTTTTGAAGTTTTAAGCTTTCAGAAACCGGTTCACGTGGAGGGCGTTCCCCGATAGCGTCATCGACGCAGTGCGAAAGGGAACGTAACTATTTTAAGAACATAACCATAACTCACTGGGGAAAGATGATTGTATGAAAATATGCAAATTAAATCCAAATGTATTAGCCACGAGGTTGAGCCATGAGTTGCCATGAGATTGTGTTGGTTTCCCATATTTAATGTGCTTTATGTGCATTAAATCATTGTTTAAATAAAATTATGCAAATAAAAGACTTAAAGTTAAATATCATCATATAAAGTGATTGTGAACTATTCCTTTGAAGAGCATGGTTACAATAATCATAATTTATGTTTTACCTTGCAGTTTAGCTAATCCATACATCTCACATTTTTCAGCAGGGTATCTTGCTTTATTATTATGAATTTCTTGACCAAACTTAACAACAACATAAGGGGAGATTTCCTTTGATTCCTTTATCCTCCTTTTCTTTCCTCGCATCCTTACTTCTCATCTAAGGGGGTGGAGCTGAGACGTGAGGATAGGAAATGAGGATTCACAAATAAGAAATGAGAAGCACCCCTGTCTCTTTTTCAATGGACCAGATGGGTGGTGCATAATTGTTTTTTTTATATATATAGTTTTAAGCACTACACACACAGAACATGAAAATTCACCATTCATTTAAAAAGAGTCATACGCCATTTTAAATGTCACATTTTTTATTTATTTGAAAACTAACATATTAATATACATGCAAAAGACAAAACATTTATGAACCTTCTTAGTATCTAAATATCCTTCATTTGTGGTAAAACCCTGATTTAACAAAAAATTATGCATCTTCATTTTTAATATGAGCAAAAAGGGCCACAAGAGATATATTTTCAGATTATTTAACATTTATTCCAGAATTCAAGAGTTCAATATCTTCTGGACCGCATCTATGGAGGCTTGAATGAAAATAGCGTTGTCTCTGATATAGTTTCTTTTCTTCATCTCCTCATGCGTGACGAACTTTGGGTAGCCAAATCCCAGCATGCTCTCATCCAGACATCCACCACGCACACTTCCCAGAGCTCCAGGCCGCGGCCTCTGGAAGTTCTTCCAGGTGGGATCCGGGTTGAAGGTCTCTGTGATATGCTGGGGTTTGGTGAGCGCCGGGTCACTCTGATCCAACAGTGAGAAGGAAACACGGTAAGGGAAAGGCCACTCCAGCAGCCCATCGTACTCTCCTGGTAGAACTCGAATGTAGACTGATAAGTGAGAGCCCTCGCCACTGCCGTTCCCATTGGGAAAGGCAGACACTTGCAGACGGTAACCATAGGTATGGGAGTAGAAGGCAGGACTAAACAATTCCAAACTCCCAGAAGTCTTGATCTTAGCTTCTTGTAGTCGCTGGCTGTAGTCTGTGAGCTTCCAGAGCAGTGTGCCATCTCGACTTCCAGAGAGTTCCTCCACCCCACGCCGCAGTTCCCTGAGCTCCAGCCTCTGACGATTCACCAGACCACACAGAAGAGAGAGGTGGGTGTGGGTGCCCTCCTCAAGGTGTTGTGCCACTCCAGTCTTAGGGCACTATAAGTAAAACAGAGAGAAAGACGTGCTAGATATAATTTCTAGGTAAATATGGCTAAACAAATGAGAGATATTGTGGTCCCAAAACATATTTCATGTCATTTTGGAGCAGCCCCAATTCCTATTCACTTTCACAAAAATAAATAATTCCCACTAAAGTTTGCTTTGTAAATAAACTTCCTGATCAATTTCATCTCAGCACACTTTACAGCTTTGAAGAACTCGATGTTGCAACAAAAACTATTTACTGTCTCTTTTTCAGAAATTTAGACATGGATTAAGGAAAATAGTCTGACGCCATGGAATAATGAGCATACCTGCCTTCAAGAGAGGAGCCCAAAAATGAAGCGCAGCTAAAAGAAAACAAAACTATCCACCGTATTCCTGACGACCTTACTGCGTTTTGAATTATGGGTGGCACTTCCGGTTTGGGGAACTTCCATTCAAAAAGGCTGAAACGAATCATTTCAAATCATAAGGTTGCCCTACAAATAAAACTGATCCGTCAGTTTGACTGGATGAGCTGTCAATTTTCCTTCATGATTTATTTTCAGACATCATGAGAATAACGTTATATTTGGTATTTTAACGTGAAATGTTATAACAAGAATATTTATGGCAAGAGCTCTTTTCAGTCGCTGCTTTCTTTTCCTCATGATGATTTTTATTTTTTTCTTTGCAATCCGCTGTAATAGTATGAAAAAGAACAACATATACGGCACATTTGTGGTCTGTTCTCCCGAATTTAATTTACGATAATAATTCACTGGAATGCACGAAGAATCTCGTTATTCTCCTTAAATCCTCACGTTTCTTTCCAGGTTTGTTTTCACAGGTAAATGCTATTTATAATCTGTCAAAATGACGGAAATCACTTTGATATAGTGTCACGTAATGCTGAAGTTAATGAACATTTTTGATTAAGGCTTGTTATACAATATATTTGCCTACTACAGTGATATTTACCAAAGACTCGCGCTTTTGGGGCTATTTTTGGTCTGTTGAAAGTACCTTGTTGATTTTTTTAAACTTTTAAATTTCATTTTAATGTTCGATGGTTGAAGGGTGAGTCGATTAATGTCATCTCATTGTGCCACTTTTTTAACGTATTGCGTTCATAGAGTGAGCCTTTCACTGATTGTTTACATTTTAACGGAAGTTACACCCATAATTCGCGCAAAGCGTCATGGGGCGTAGGAATAAGGTGGATAGGTATTTCGCATTTTATGGAAGGACAGTGTTACTGCATTCAGAAAGGCCTTAAAAACGGCTAGATTTGATTACGTTTCAACTCTCTTAGAAGAGAACAAACACAACCCTAGGTATGTATTTGATACAGTGGCTAAATTAATGAGAAATAAAACTTCAACTTCAGATGTTTCCAAACAGCACAGCAGTAATGACATTATGAATTTCTTTACTTGCAAGATTGATACGATTAGAGAGAAAATTAAAACCATTCAAACGTCTACTACAGTATCGCATCAGACAAAGGATTTCCAGTCAGGGTTTAGACCGTATCGTAGTACTGAGACTGCTCTCATTAGAGTTACAAATGATTTGCTCTTATCGTCCGATCGTGGTTGTATCTCTCTATTAGTGTTACTGGATCTAGCGTGCCGTACCGAACCGAACCGTACCGTTCCATGCAGTGGAAAAGCGCCAATAGTGCTGCATTTGATACAATCAACCTTTTTTTCTTAAAAGACTCAAAAATTACGTTGTCATTGCATTGTGAAGTTGCATTGGCATGGTTTAAATAATACTTATCTAATCGGTATCAATTTGTAGCAGTAAATGAAGAGGTATCATATCGATCACAAGTTAAGTATGGAGTACCACAAGGCTCAGTCCTAGGACTGTTGCTTTTCACCCTGTACATGCTACCCATGGGAGATATCATTAGGAAGCATGGTGTTAGTTTTCACTGTTATGTGATTATACTCAAATCTATATTTCTTCACACCCTGATAAAACATACCAAGTCCAATTCACAAAATAAATGGAATACATAGTTGATATAAAACCGAGGTTTTAATCATCGGACCAAAGCATGTAATGACCTAACGGCTGCTCTGTCAAGTCTTTGTTGTAAGTTAGGAACCTGGGTGTGCTCTTTGATACATATCTCAATTTGAAAGCCACATTTCTAGCATCTGTAAAACTACATTTTTCCATCTTAAAAATATATCTAAATTAAGACATATGCTCTCAATGACAAATGCAGAAAAGTTAATGCGTTCATAGCCTCAAGGCTAGATTATTATAATGCTTTACTGAGTGGTTGCCCTGCACGCTTAAAGGAATAGTTCACTCAAAAAAATGTATTATCCCATAATTTACTCACCCTCAAGCCATCCAAGAGAGTCAAGTTCCGGCGAAAGGGTGACCTCAGACCCGAAATATGACTTAGGTGAGAATAGTCACCTCTCATGAAAACCAGGTAACTCTCTTGAGAACGTTCTCAAGAGTGATTAAAATGTATAAAGTTTTAAATATGAATATATTTTTTTATAAAAACCCTTCGCTTCAGAAGGATTTATTAACCCACTGGAGTCGTATGTTTTTTTTTTTTTTTATGGGTTGATGTATGTGCTTTTTGGAGCTTCAAAAACTCTTCACTGTCATTACAAAGCTGGGAAGAGCCAGGATATTAATATAGCTCTGATTGTGTTTGGCAGAAAGAAGAAAAGCATATACACCTAGGATGGCTTGAGGGTGAGTAAATTATGGGATTATTATTGGGTGAACTATTCCTTTAATAAAATAAAAACTCCAGCTGGTCCAAAATGCAGCAGCAAGTTTTCTTACTAGAACCAGGATGTATGACCATATTAGCCTGGTTCTGTCAACACTGCATTGACTCCCTGTTAAACATTATACATTTTAAAATCTTGCTAATTACTTACAAAACACTAAATGATTTCAAAGTCACCATGAAATAAAAATGTATATTTCTTATTTTCTTATTCTTTTTTTAATTGAATATTGCAGTGTTTATTATACATATTTTTTTCGTGCACAAAAAAGAAAAAAAGAAAATAGTTAACTATTAGCAGGCGGTACCAAACTCGGCCACAAGGCGCCACTATACAGACCTCAGGGAACTGTGTCAACTTGTGTAAAAGTTAAACATGATGGTACAAGCAAGTCGATGAGATGAATCAATGTAACTACACAACAACTAAATAAATGTATCCACTAACCATTCAGAAACGTCCAGATTCAGTCTAGGCTACGTTCACACTGCAGGCTGGTCCAAATCCGATATGTATCCGATCTTTTGAAATGCGACTTCAATCTGAACGGCCAGGTCACATGTATCCGACCCGCACGTCATTGATATGCGACAAACGTCATAATTCTGCGTTGAAGTAGGCGGGAATGAGAAGATTGTAATTGCTGGCTCTGTTGGGAAAATAACTTTAATATTGCGAAACGAGCTCCACTGTTGACATCCATGTTTAGCTACTTCCGCAAACAACAAGTGACGTCGTTGACCGTTGAGTACTCTTCTGCGCATGCGGGTCACTTCTGGGTCATTTCACGTTCACGTTCACGTTCACAGATCACAAAAGGTCGCATTTAATTGGAAATGTGAACGGCCTTGCAAAAAAATCGAATTTAAAAAAAAAATCGGAATTGAGCATTAAGCCCCTGCAGTGTGAACGCAGGCTAAAAGTTGCAACCTCTTCCTGAGTCTCTCCGTCAAGGGCTCCACTCCGCTAATGGTTATTTTTAAGATTTTGGATGAGTGAGATTCACGCGTTTTGTTATTGCCGGAGTATCCGAAGCTTGTGTAAAGGACCGGCTCTCTTCTGAATGGGGGCGGTGAGCAGCAGCTCATTTGCATTTAAAGGGACACACAAAAAAACGGCGCGTTTTTGATCATACCCAAAAGGGGGCAAATTTGAAAAGCTATAATAAATTATCTGGGGGGTATTTTGAGCTGAAATTTCACAGACACATTCTGGGGACACCATAGATTTATATTACATCTTGTGAAAAGGGGCATTATATTTCACCTTTAAAGGAATACCTCCAGTGTTATTTTGTTATATAATACAATGACAACCAAACATTGTGCCAAATACATTTTGGGCCACCTGTACTTCTCAAATACAAGATATGACGTCTAGTATTCATCACAGAGTTATTAGACATGCATAACTGTAGATCATACCCTATGTTTGCAGCCAGCCTCCTTAAATGGGCAAAGCACCATAGCAGTGTTGCATCCTTCCTTTACATGTGCCATTAAAGTCTCTCTCGTGATACCCGGTGTGCCGCACCTGTTAGGGCACTGCACAGGGAAGCGTGGACACTGCTGCTGATGAGGCTGTGAATACAAAACATACCTATGAATGCACTCCCTTTACCACAAAAAAACAATACATTAAGAAATGTAATAAAATAACTGAAAAGTGTACTGTATGTGTAAATAAATGTTGAAAATGTAGGATGGTAGCATAAAGTCCACTGACCTGAATAGTGTCATAGAGGAACTCTTTTCTGCAGTATCTGCAGGGCAGTTTGCGTTTGGGACACTCTGACACAGAGTGCTGGTCCAACAGTCTCCGGACCATACGAGCACCACATTTATTCTCACAGTACACACTCTCCTCAGGACATTCACCCTGGTGACTCTGAATGAGGACAGGGAGGGATGTGTAAGAGCTGTTGTGCGGCGTTGAAACAAGATGGATTTTGCAAACCATGTCTTTTGTGTGTTGAATTAACTAGCCACCGAATTCATCAAAATGCAAGAGAAATTAAAATAATAAATCAAATGGTTTATTTTAAAAAGTTGTTCATGTTAATATTAATACATAAGCATTTCTAAATCATTACAAATATGAATAAACTTAAACTGGTTGTAAAGTGTCAGAAGTGTGTCTGACCTCATATGCCTCCCCGGTGAACTGGTCGCCACAGTGATCACAGTGTAGTTTTCTCTTAACGCAGTCATGCTGCAGGTGCTCAGGCAGTTCACGTCGCAGAAACTTCACAGAGCAACGGTTTGGACACGACACCACGTTAAACTCACACATGGACAAATGGGCCTGGAGGGGAAGTGAGAAACACAGTGTGAGAGTGAAATTTGGCTGTTTATTGCATGTCTTGCCTCTGCGTTTGGGGTCGGTAAGACTTTTGAATGTTTTTGAAAGAAGTCTCACCAAGGCTGCATTTATTTGATCAAAAATACAGTAAAAACAGTAATAATGGTAAAATATTATTACAATTTAAAACAATATATTTCATATCATTTAAAATGCAGTTTATTCCTGTGATGGCAAAGGCATCATTACTCCAGTCTTCAGTGTCACATGATCCTTCATAAATTAATCTAATATGCTGATTTGCTGCTAAATAAAAATTTCTTTTTATTATCAATATTAAAAACAGCTTAATTTCTCAGGAAACCATGATACCTTTTTTTAAAGATTCTTTGATGAGTAGAAAGTTCAAAAGAACAGCATTTATCAAATCTAACAATTTCTTTAAAAAAAAAAACTAAATCTTACTGACCCCAATCTTTTGACCAGTAGTCAGTATGTATTTGCATGTAGTGCACACTGCAATAAATAGACACTGTAACGTACAATAGGAGCCTATAAACACACTGGCAGCATCTAAAATGCCATTCTTAACAGGACTTCATAAACCATAAAGAAATCCATTCAATCCTACAAAGATGTATGTACAAATATCTACAAACACGACTGAGATTTGAGTTAGTGTGCGCATTATTTGCCGTTTGTTGACCTGGAGAAGCTTGTTCTGCGCGGTCCAGCGGCAGCCCTCCTCACTGTGGATGCAGCGGATGGGCAGGGACAGAATCTGCTGTTCCAGTTCCACATCTGGAAAAATCTGCAGTGAGAATTACACATGTATAACAGTGTACTGGAGTAGAACATGCAAGAACATTTGAAAAGCATAGCTTTTTAAGAAATAAAACAAGAGCAAGATTGCTGTGATTATTTGAACAACTACTTTTATACAGCTGTTCAATAAACAAGAAGTTAAAGGGATAGTTCACCCAAAATGAAAATTCTGTCATTAATTACTCATCCTCATGTTGTTCCAAACCCGTAAGACTTTAATTCATCTTCCGAACACAAATGAAGATCTTTTTGATGAAATCAAAGGGATTTCTGTCCCTCCATTGACAGCTACGCAAATTACACTTAGACACTTCAAAAAGGTCATAAAGAGATTGTAAAACTAATCCATATGAATTGAGCGGTTTTAGTCCAAATCTTCTGAAGAGACATGATTGCTTTATATGATGAACAGATTGAATTTAGGCTTTTATTCACATATAAACATTCATCAACTCACACATCAGTTGTGGTAAATGGAAACTCGAGCATGTTCGCTTGACTTGCGAGAACCAATGAGGTTCATTCTCTAAGTGGAAGTTGCATAGCTGTCAATGGAGGGATAGAAAGCTCTCGGATTTCTTAAAAAAGATCTTCATTTGTGTTCCGAAGATGAACAAAAGTATTACGAGTTTAAAATGGCATGAGGGTGAGTAATTAATGAAAGAATTTTAATTTTATTTGATTATCCCTTAAAAATTCAGTAGCTTATATTTTAGACACAATGGCCCGGTTTCACAGACAGTGCTTAGATTAAGCCAGGATTTGGGCTTAGTTCAATTAGGGCATTAAAGTAGCTTTTATAAACGTGCCTTAGAAAAAAAAACATTACTGGTGCGTCTTGAGACAAAACAATGGCACTGACATATTTTAAGATATATCAGTGCAAGTTGCTTTAAGTTAAAACAGCTCAAACATGCATTTTAGTCTGAGACTAGCCTAAGCCTTGTCTGAGAAACTGGGGGAATATTGCCAGTAATTTTGTTGATTTTTGCACTGCCAAAAAAAATATTTCCAAACGAACTCAAAGCCGAATGAACTGTAACACACAACAGTGGCATTCCTGAATCAATTAGTTTTGTTGAACAAATCACTTGAATGAATGATTCAATGACTCACTCATAAAGAAAATAATTTGTTGCCACCTACTGGTGTAACAATTTAAAAGTGTGCATCCCAGTTGGACAGTGAATCAGCGCTCAAATTTGAGGACAAAAACTGTTGCATGCAAATGTAATATATTCAGGACTGGCTTATGTAAGAATAAAAAATAAGTAGCATTTCTATATTTAATATAAGGTAAAGCCTGTACTTTTTTCATGTTAAAATATGGTCTGTCTATTGAATAATTTCTGTTAAAACATCAGAGGAATAAAATCTGGAGGGATTTGAAACTGTAGTATGTTATGATACACTCACTTTGGCATAATCCAGTGGCAGATGGTCCTCTGGGCACTTGAACACACCTTCACTATTAAAAGCAAAGTTGCATGTTATTCAATGAAAAATCACCATGATGAATTTGTCTTGTTCACGTGTTTTTGCTTCCCTGCATAACGGAAAGCGACACATGTATGTGTTAGAATTTCATTTGCATTCGATTTATTTCTACATTATATGTTGTGGGTTGAAAAGCAGTTCACAACAGCCTCTCTGACTGATGCCTCCGTGTTATAAAGCCTAAATGAATCACGGCCAAACTGATTTGACAGGAACTTCAGAATCACCTCCCACACCACAAACTGACGGAGAGCCTTCAGGAGAATGTGAGTGAATCATCCATCTGGGATGGTGACGCCCCCCAGCATACATAATATGGGGAAGCAGTACAATCAACACATCCCATATTAATAGAGCTGTGATCTTTCCATTACGTGTGACACAGAAGCACATCGTCATTTCAAAATCCTATGGGGAATTTTCCCAAAAGTCCCATGGGGCTTCACAAGAAGGTGGAAAATGTGATAGCTGCATTTTTGAGGCACATCAGAAGTGTCATGCATGTGCCCACTCAGATTTTTTAATCAAATGGATGCAACTTCTATTAAAAAAAGGTTTCTATTTTAGTGTAAAGAGTTCACATTTACATTTAGAGACGCTTTTATCTAAAGCGACTTACAACTGAGGACTAAACCAAGCGAGCCATAGTGAAGAGGCAAAAACAACGCAAGAAGTGCTCAAAATACAAAGTTCAGACATTTCTCAGAGTAGCATAAGCCAGATAAGCAAGGATTTAAAGGAAAAGGAAAGATTTTTTTTTCCAGAAGAGCATTGCAGTAATCAAGCCTAGAAATGACCAGGGCCTGGACGAGAAGTTGTGTTGCATGCTCAGTTAGGAAAGGCCTGATCTTCCTGATGTTGTGCATAGCAAACCGGCGTGATCGAGCTGTCTTTGTAATGTGGTCTGTGAAGGTCAGCTGATCATCAAAGATGAAGTACAAAATGACTTGTTCACTTCCAATTTAGCAGACTTTAAGTATACCAGTTTAGTATAATTATATAGTTATAGTGTAGTGTTGTAGTATACCTAGCATAAAATAAATGTATTTCAAATACATTTTAGTATATTTATTTTTCATTAGTGTTATCTTGACTAGGACACTGAATGAGTCAGAACTGCAAATGAGCCCCTATAAAAGTAGGTGCATCATGCCCTTCAGGCAGATGCATGCTATATCATGTTAAAAAATGTTGCATAAAGCCTGTATGAAACATATGTTCCTAACAGTACTGCTATTAGGTTAGGTAAGAGAGCAGATCCTACATTGACTCTTTCTTGGTCAAACTTTAAACCACTGACTGCATGAAATTCAATCCACGGATTTACATTTGAATAAGTAATTCATTTAAAATGAATAGTCTAATTGAAAGTTAGTCCGATAGAATGTGAATGGACGAGACTGTCCATCACTGTGATAACATCCACAGGATAACACACAGGACAATGAATGTGATTGTTCCAGTCATTACATGTGAGCAACACAACTCTGCATTTTGACTCTGTGAATGAGAAGACAAGGCATGGAATGCAAAGAATGGGTCATAACCCAAAACTGCGCTAGCTTACAGTCGAGTAATACTACCAAATAAACTGACTCACTGCATACTTTCCTTTCACATTCAATACTTTTGGCTGTGTTCAAATGGGAATCACAAAACTTCTCAAAAAAATATCAGAAGCATTCTGCAGTGTTTTGATTATGCTATAATCTCTTACATTTTAAAATGTAAAAAACATGTAATTTTATGTAAACATTATACTTTGTAAAACTTATATTGACAGAAAGACTAGGCGTCAGTAGCCTGAGGGATTTTGTGTCACTGTCATCTTGCTTGGCCAGTTTGGTGTTTGTTTATTACTACGCTGTCATTGGAGTAATTATTTTTAAGTGATACTTCATATAGTCAAAGAGAAATGTAATGAGAACATGGCCAGATCTATTAAATTATTTAAAAATACATTAAAAATGCAGATGGTGACTAAAAATACGCCTGAATTTCTGAACCTGCTTAATATTTTTGTGGAAACCATGATAGAAATTTTTCAGGACTCAAAAGAACAGCATCTATTTGAAATAGAAATATTTCATAACATTAAAAAGGTATTTACTGTACTTTAACTTAATGCAACCTTGAATAAAACTCTTACTGACACAAATGGTTTGACAGTATATCTTAAAAAAAATGATTAAAATTATTCTTATTTAGCCTATGAATTACTCATGTCAACAATGATTTACACTTAACATTCATGTATTAAATATGTATGAAATATATTTTGTAGCATTTCATCTATACCATATTAGACATTTTGGAGTCAAATTATATTCTTTTTTAAAAACTAATGTCATTATACCTAACGCTTACCCATAAAATAAAAATGTTTGAACACATAAAAAGAGAATTAACCCAAAAAATTACATTTGTAAGAAATATTTATCTTTTTAATTGTCTGTTGTTGATTACATTTCTAAGAAATATTTATCTTTTTAATTGTCTGTTGTTGTTTTTTTAGTTTTCTTTTCATTATTCATCAATGACCCAGATTATAGCCTATTATGTCCATTTAGTGTTTTATAGAGATGTCACGTCGATATCTCATCAAGCTTCAGTTCACATTACAATGTGAAGAAATAACTTTGACGCAAGCGGCCACAGTCCTTCTTTCGTCGGACAGGTGTAACGTTAGGTTGAGAAGCAGCGTTACCTGAGATACTCCTGCAGGCAGGTGTCGCAGAATCTGTGTCCGCAGGTGGACACCTGCACCGGGTCCCTCATCGGCTTATCACACAGAGGACAATACAACCTCCTCCTCGGTCTCTCCAGAAACTTCAAATCTAAACCTGGCATAATAGCCTACCTTTGTTTATGGATATCAACTTCAGACTGTAAACTGATAAACTGCGCAAAAAAAACTTTACAAATAATCTTAGTGCAAAGATGAAGAATACTATTGGTAGGTTCAAATCCCACAGTAAAAAAGTATCGGTCTATCATGACATTTCCGTCTTCTTCAGTCAGTAAAGCACAGGGGAACGTTTACTCTTTCCAACTGTCAGTCTGCTCTTCTGCCCCGCCCACAGGCGCGAGAGGGGGAGGAGCCACGAGCAGTGTTACTCTGTATCTGTGTGTGTGTACAGTATATATATATATATATATATATATATATATATATATATATATATATATATATATATATATATATAAATGCACACACACACACACATATACAAACTTTTATGTTAGAAGCAATTAATCACATTAATCAGCACTAATATATACATATATATATATATATATATATAATTAGATCACAGTTAACGTTTACGTAACTAAATATTTTTTTATGATTTTAGTTTTAATTTCCTATAATAACCCTGAACATAGTAATCCCAATTTATGTTGGATTGAAACAGTGTCTTGGTCTCGTTGATTTCGTTAACCATGACACTGATGAACAAAAGATCTTTCCTCCTCCCCCCGTTCACCTGTTTTCCAGCCTCAGTGTGGATGTTGATATTTGATACCTCAACACCTACATAGGGCTCACAAGTCAAATGGTATGAAAAACATGTCTCAACAGTGAGAAGAATCACATGGGCTTTTGATTTACTATATTTTAAAACACCCCAAACACCCTTACAGTGCGTTTTTTAAAGTGCATCTTCAGTACTGAATCTTGTCTTACTAGAGTGTGTAAATGTAGAAGCTTTTTGACAGTTTCATCGAAACAGGTTACATGCTGCAGAACCAGTTTTACTTCCTCGTTCCACAAAGCAATATTGGTTGACCTTAGACTCCTTGAATAGGCCATATCAGCAGTAAAAAGCACAGAGCGTGTTCAGTTGATCTGCGTTAAACTCCATGTTAATGCCTCGTCGTTAAAAGACACGTGAAAGACCCATTTATGCTCAGCTATTGTGACTCTTGTACAACCCTTCACAGAAAACTGACGAGTGACTGAAAAGTGCTTTTGTTTACGGTTAAAAATGATTCATTTTAGTTAATGTGTCAGTGTGTCGATTTAATTGGAGTCATCCACAAGGAGTACATGTGGGCATGTGTGTACATGTGTAGGAGGGCAACAAAGAGCCAGATAAAGGATCGAAGAATAAAACACACACAGAAGCCATGACAAACATGACAGACATTCTTCCACCTGCTACGCAGCCAGTGAGATGCCAGAAGCTACACAATTAAACCAGAAAACCCACATGCAGCTGTGTAAAAACAAGTTTATTGTTGCATTAAAAATGATTTCTGTCATAAAAGTCTCTCAAAATCTATGGCATTACTATAAGGACTAAAAATGCTTTGATCCTTCAGATACAGAACATACAAACTTCAGCATATATTATTAGAGTGAAATGGTTGTCAGGTATATTGTAGAAATATTATTAGGAACACATTAAATATATGGTGCAGTTGGTCTGCTTTCTTAAAGATATAGCCCTAGTTCACCAAAATCACCCTCACGCTGGTGCAAACCCCTATTGCAGTCCCCATTCACTTGAATTGTGTGAAAAAAGAGCAGCGTAACTATTATTCAACATTCCTTCATTTGTGTTTCAGAGAAAAAGGAAAGACAAACTGGTTTGGGGCATCATGTGAGTGAGTAAATGATGATAGAATTTTCCTTTTTGAGTAAACTATCCATTTTAAAATGAAACATTCAGAATAACTATGTATTCTGTTTTATATTAATACAATAATACAAAATATTATTATAATTGTTATAATATTTTCGTCATATGAAACAATTCTTCATAAATAAATCTTCATTTAGACTTGAAATGTGCATTTGTTTAAAATGCTGGACATCTTATTCAAAATACATATAAACACATAATTAGTGTGTTTATATATTGCTTAAGAAAAAAAATTTAAATCTACTCTGAGTGAACTTAATTTTCTTTCGTTAAAAATATACCATACATGGACAGCATAAAAAAAGTGTATTCTAAAATAAACACTGATTAAAGTGCTTCAGATATTATAATTAGTATTAAAACTGCATGTTAGTTTAAATGACCTAAAATGCAGCATTGTCTTAATGATGGAAATAAATCATGGCCATAATAAAACGAAGGCAAAGGAGAGAAGCAGCACTTCAGTAGGAGTTTTCCCACCATCTGACCCAGGTCTTCTGAGTGGAGAAAAGATTTCTTCATATCATTCACATTCTTAATCAGTATAGTTTCTCTGTAAAAACAACAGCAACAACAAGAAGAGTCTGTCAGAAAATGTTCATGAGGGACTTCAACCAAAAACTGACAGCTTTAGCTCTGAAATATGATTGGATGAGCCATGTGATTTGGTTTTTATAAAAGTTTCTGTTTTATAAAAAAATAGGTTAATATTATAAACATTTTTACATGTACAGTGTAATAAAATACTATAATATAATTTAAAAATATTTAAAAAATCATGTTAAATCACTAAGATATATATATATATATATATATATATATAGCAGGATGTTAATAAACTATACCACTTGGAGGAGGAATTGTTTATTTTGATAATTATAAATACATTTTATTCATTGAACTTTGGTGTCTTCGATCATACTGGTATAGCCGTTTTATAAAAAATATAATATAATATATAATTATATATATATAATATGTTAATAAACATTATCAGTTGGTGGAAGAATTGATTATTTTGTTTATAATTATTAGTAATCAATTCTATTGATCATTGGTGTATTCAATTATACTAGTATTATTTATAAAAAAGTTTTAATAGTATCAATATATTTTATATGTATAATAATATCTATATAACATATAATACAGTATATTAAATATTACAAAACATGTGTGTGTGTATATATAAATAAAAATGATACTGTAAAAAAGTATAAAGAGTATAAAAAAAACGTGTATACTTATTTATATATACAAAATCCATAAAATACTAAATTATATCAAATGACTTAAATAAAAAATCTATGGTGATAGTTTTTAAAATCGTATTTCACATGATGGTCTGTTACCTGTAAAATCACGGCAACAAAGACCGCCAGCAGAGCCAGCAGCGCCATGCGGCCCAGACTGCCAAAGTCGACGTGTTTGAGGATGAAAAAGCGTGCCCAGCCCAGCTTGTCTGCTGTATGTGGTGGATAACGCATCTTATTCACCCCCTCCATCTTCAGCTGTTTGATCAGACAGCCCCGCAAGTGGCTCAAGTGATCAAACCCGTACTTGCCATGATAGCGGCCCATCCCACTGTTACCTGCAGGGGGAGTCCAAGAGCTGAGCTACGGTACAGTCCACACATCGAAACATCACATGCATGCTTCTTCAGAGACTCTCCGAAAAAAAACAAAAGAAGTTTACTTTCCAAAAAAAAAAAAAAAGGAACTCACCAACTCCACCAAACGGCAAAGAGCTTACTGAGAAGTGCATCAAACAGTCATTGGCCAACACTCCACCACTAGAGGTCTCCGCTATCATACGCTTGATCAGCTGTAATGAAAGAACAGATTTGTACAGTTGTCTTAAGTAGAACGTGATTTTTCTCTATATCATGAATGAATGAACAGTTTAAACCTTGTTGTCTGAAGAGAAGATGTACAAGGCAAGGGGCTTCTCTCTCTGGTTGATGAATTTGATGGCTTCATCTGCACTGCTCACTGTCAGGACGGGCAACAGTGGCCCGAAGATCTCCTCCTGCATCACCTTGGCATCCGGCTTCACGTCCCTTAAAACTGTAGGAGCTGTGAAGAGATGCATGTTGAATAAACACCTTATTCTGCAACGCGGTAGTAAGCTATTTTCTGTAAATGTGCGAGACCTCTGACGCATTAGCCGCTATAGGGTAATACCTAGAAGAAGAATGTGGAGTAAACAGTAAAACTATTTGTGCTACAAACCAGTGTGTTTGTGATTATGATAATTAATATGATAACAAATACCAGTTTGCAATATGAAGCAGCAGTTTTTGTCAGGCTAAATAAAGGAAGCGGATGACACCGGACGGTGGATAACGAAGAGTTATAAAAGTGTTTAGAATGTGATTAAAAACAATAAATCGGTTTCATTATCTTTTGAAAAGGATTCTAGTGACTTAGCATTAGCAATGCAGCTAAAGTTTACCAATGTAGCACTCTGACTCGTCGTTTTCACCCCCCACAGCGACGCTGCTGCCCTCCAGCAATGCCATCAGTCTCTTGAAGTGGCGCTCATTGATGATGCGTCCATAATCCAGACATTTTTTGGGGTCTTCGGTATAGAATTCCTGATCATCACAAATGAAAGCATGTATTAGCTCATTTGACATTTTATAGAATGTTAAATAGTGATAGATTTCATATATATATGAAATTTAATCATTTTCATCCAAATAAAATCTTTTTATCGCTTATTTGCACTTTTTAGACTTCACTAATTGCTACTAATTGCCAATCCGTTCATATGAATGAATATATATATATATATAAAGTCTTTATATATATATGTATATATATATATGAACAGAGTGGAATTTAAGCAATTATGGCCCACTCCAAATATAAATATTGACAGCAAGAATAAATCAAATGAATAAGTTTCAGAATCTTTAAAATTTTTCCTAACATATACTAGTAATCCATACCTCAAACTTTTCATTATTAGCCTTCTACATCAATATAATTTTTGGTAACACTTTACAATAATATTCAATATTTTAATGATAGTTAATGCATGAGATATCATCAACTAACTATGAGAAATAATTTATCTCAATGAAACATTTGTTATCTAATTTAATGTTCATTTAAAAATATGCTATTGTTAGTTCATGTTAGTTTAAAATGCATTTACTGTTAACATTTGCACATTGAAATGCTGAAATGTATCAATATAAATTAACTGTCATTCACAAATAACCTACATACATACTTTAATATTCTTCTTGATCTCTTCAATCACTCTGTCTTGTATACTGGGGTCACACAGTATGTAGTCCGGAGCAATGCAGGTCTGACCACAGTTTGAATACTTCCCCCATGCAATACGCCTGTAATGTCACAGAGAACATATATTCAAAATCATTTCACAGATTCATTGCATACAAACAATCAAGATTCATAGAGTGCATTAGTGCCCGCCCACTTTTTCAGCGGCGTTGGTTCCGGAAGTATTTTTTCCATTCATTTCTCCCATAGGCATTTCACAAAAGTCTTTGTTAAACTGTTATAAGCCACGAACCAAGCCAATCAGCTACGAGGTGAATCATAACATTTCAAACTTTTTGATTTGAAGCAAAAGTATTTGAAAATCAGACAAAAATTAAAAGGTAAAAGACTGTGTACTTAACGACTTTAGTGAAAGAAAGAACCACAATCCCATGAAGCATTGCGAACAGTGAACAAATTAAAAACGATTGAGAAATAAAAAGATACTAATTGAAAATGTTGACACAATATAACTACAACAATATATTTTAATTTTATTGCAAAATATGCATATATAATCAAATATTCAACATTTTGAGAGCATAGGTAGAACGACTTGATTACGTCATTTGCGGAGCATCATGGGAGTGGGCGGAGCTAATGAGATCTTTTGGTGTGTTTTACTCATTTCGACTCTGATTGGTGGAATTTTATGTACAGCATCATGGGTAATGTAGTTCTTCACCACGAATTTCGCTGTTAAAGGAATAGTTCGCTTAAAAATGTCAATTCTGTCATCATTTACTCTCCCTGAAACCTGTATGAATTTCTTTCTTCTGCTGAACACAAAGGAAGATATTTTGAAGAAAGTTGGTAAACATCATTTAATGAGTAAATGATGACAGAATTTTCATTTTTAAGTAAACTATTCCTTTAAACACGATTATTTTAAAACTAAGTTTGTAATAATGTGGGCTAACGGCTTCAACAGAAGCAAATACTATCGATTAACAACCTCGTATCTCACAGTAAAACTGTCTTTAAAGGTTTTTAAGTTGTCGTTAAAAATCAATTTCCCTATGGAGAGTCGAATGGAGTTTTTACTTCCAGGGTCCGACTGTTGTGAATGGACTGACCGGCATGCGACGGCAAGGTCACAGTTGTTGTCGATGTAGCACGGGCTCTTTCCGCCCAGCTCCAGAGTGGACGGGGTTAGGTGTTTCGCAGCAGCCTCCATGATGATTTTAGCCACTGTACCGTTCCCAGTGTAGAAGATGTGATCAAACCGCTGCTTGAGCAGCTCTTGGGTCTCTGTCACCCCACCGGCGACGACAGGGTACAACTCCTGAGATCAGCACCATCAGTATGAATACATTACACTGTATACTAATTCAAATGTATAGTTAGGGTTACTATCCTTTTTATTTGGTTAATTTAAATTATAAACCAATTTGTTTTAGAAATGTATGAAAGAAATCGTACTTTGTCCAAGTACAGTGGTAAGAGGTCCTCCATTACTTTGGAAGTGTGAGAACTGACTTCAGATGGCTTGATCACAGCTGCATTACCTGTCAAATAACATAGTATTAATTATAATATGACAATATTATTATCAATTTTCTTAAATATTGACAGGCATTTTTTATCTCCACATGTTAACTTTGTAACACCCACTGATCTATATAAAGTATAGACTATAAAAAAAATATGATCAGTAATAATGGTATAACTTTTAACACAACACTAAACACTTCAAATGTATCTCTGTTTTGCAAACCTGACTTTTTACTTAGTAAACGGTGACAACATTCTTCAAGACAGATAACAGACAGAAGGATAAAAGCTGGAGCTATCTCTGTATATAGAGATAGTGAGTTTGAACGAGTTACAGCATTTTTGTAAAACTTGCAAATAATGTGCATAAGTTAATTCATGCATTATTCTTAAAATGGGACAACAAATAAATAAATAGTTTTCAAATCTAAGGTATTTCTAGGGGTTATTTTTTGCAAGTCCTGACATTGTTGATGGTGACTAAGGGAAAGAGACAGTAATGTACTTTGGTCTGTTGGCACAGGGCAGTTTCACATAAGTAGGACAAAGTACAGTGTAACAAAGTTATCCTTAAATGTGCTCTTCATTCATTACTAAAATGTTTTTTCCCATCTACACAACAAAAACTGAGGAGGAGATGTAAAACCGATTGTTCAGACAAATGCCTCATATTTAATGTTTTAAAGTGGGTGGAGAATGTACAGTCACACACACTGCGGTTCAAAAGTCTCAGACCATGGTCACATCTGGTATTCTAAATTAAACACTTTTGAAATTTTATAAAGTTATGATGTAAATAATTAAGAAATATTTAAAATGCTTGATTATATTTAGATCACTAATTAAATAAGCAAATTTAATCAGTGCTGATGAATAACACAATTATCAGGATTTGCACATTTTTGTGGTTCATGCAGCTCTAGTGCTGCTATTATTAAAGGCGCAGTGCGTTATTTCTCAAATTTGTTGCTGAACATTGTTGACATTTGAAAACAACACAAACAAACACACCCCTCTCTTCATTGCTCTGCCTCTAAAGCTCACCCTCCAATCCTAACCACCCTGCTCTGAGTCGGTCTCGAACCCCGATCGCTGGCATGGACGCCTAATAAGGACGCTAAACAGTACACACTGCATTCTCTAGCAGTCATCAGCCTGCACAACACAATAGCTGGCCTCCAGTGTTGGGAAAGTTCATTTTCTACATGAACTAGTTCAAAGTTCAGTTCACACATTTTAAAATGAACTAGTTGAGTTCATAGTTCATACTTCAAAAAATGAACTAGTTCATAGTTCTTTTTTTCCATATGTTGCTGCGAGCTTCTTTTTTTATTTTATTATTGCCACAGCCCATATACAACCACAGACAGCAATTATTTTATCGACGGGCCAAGTTTGCACTAGCCTGGGAAAACCCAGATAACTTTTGGCAAATTCAGATTTGCTCTGAAAGTTAGTCTGGCAAAGAGCTCATTCAAGCTCATTTCCAATCCGTCGAAATCGAGGCACCAATCAGAAACGTTGGGGCGGGCTTTACACGATGACGACAGCGCTGGGATTTTGAAGCGGATTTTGTAGCCTACATTACAAAGATGGATGCCGCCGTCGAACATCACTCGTTCGAATCAGCTATCGCGTCTGTTTTAAGCGATTTGAACGTTTCCTTTTTGTTAAAAACCGAGCAAAGAACAACACTCGGAGATGTTTCTCCGCCGCTCTGCATACGTCACGGTCATCTCCTTCATCGCTCTGATTGGTTTTAAGGCCTATCCGTGACGTCCGTTGGTGACGCCCCTCTGGAAATGGTTTGTCTATGACGCTTTGCCAGACCATAACTCAGTTACAACTGAGAATGGTCTGGTTTTAACCAGGCTAAGTTTGCACAGAAATGTAAGATTTTTCCCAACCTCACCGACCTTGTCATAAAACTCGTTTAAATGATCTTACGACGCCTCCTCGCTCGCTGCTTTGTCGACTACATGCTGCTTTTTTGTTTTGATGACGCATGCGGCGGTGCGACACTGGTGGCTGGTGTTGCCAGATTGGGTGTTTTTTTCCCTACATATTAAGGCCTGTTTACGTGTGTTTTAGTCGGGTTTTCGCCTGGAAGGCTCCATAGAAATCTGGCACCCTATTGAACGAAGTTAAACTGAGAGAGCGTGCGTTAACAAACACCAGAATGAACGCGTTCACAGTAACATTCACCAGGCAGTAATTCTGTACGTTCAGTTAACGTTCGCCCAAAATATGAACGAGTTCATGAACTATCGTTCATTGAACGCGTTCAGGCACAACACTGCTGGCCTCCTTACACACGCAATGCAAGAGTGGCAGTCTGTTTATCGTACCAGAAGCGCAACAAAATAATGCTTCACGAAAAATAAAGCAAGATGATGAACGAACGACAAGGAAGCACAAAAAATAAAAGTACATACACAATAGTAAATACAAACAAGAGTTGGTGGTTAGTTTCTAACAGCACAGCAGCTCGACAAACAATCCCACTCAAACCCAGTGTTACTCACGTATGGAGCGGAATCAAAGCAACCTCTGTGTCTGTTTTCAGGCCTTCCCGCTTAGCTCTCTCCAGCGCTTTTCTAATATTAAAGGGGTGGTTCAGGATTTTGGACATCGGACCTCAGTTCCAAGTTAGCCTGGGTGTTATTTATCAGTGGAGACAGTTTTCAAAAAATTTCATCCAGTCGTTCCAGTTGCATAGTTCGCCGGTGCTAGGCTAGCGCGAGTCAGCGGTATCTGCTAGCCTGCCATTAAAAACTGTTTTACCCACTCCACAGTACACCAAGAGCAAATAAATTATAACGGCAGACTATCGATGTAAATGTCTGTTGAGAGAATAATGTTAGAAATCAAACTACCCTTTCATCGCATTGCAATAGTTATACTTTGTTCCCTGTATTTATTAGCACAGTCTACAGCAGCGGCGGAGTGATATTAAGTTACCTAGGCAACCGAGAGAGGTAGTGAGAGATAGAGGTATTCCCGACTGTATTGCGCTTCTGTTCTGTGTTTACTTTTCGGCGCAGTACTACTAACCGGAGCAAAGTAAAATTCCGCCGCTGCTGAGAAACTAGTTCCTGTAAATGCAATGCGATCATTGAGATGCAAGAGTACTTTGATTTCTAACATTATTCTCTCAACAGACATTTACATCGATAGTCTGGCGTTATAATTTATTTGCTTTTGGTGTACTGTGGAGTGGGTAAAACTGTTTTTAATGGCAGGCTAGCAGATACCGTTGACTCGCGCTAGCCTAGTTGCAAGCCTATGCAACTGGAAGGACTGGATGAAATTTTTTGAAAACTGTCTCCACTGATAAATAACACCCAGGCTAACTTGGAAATGAGGCCCGATGTCCAAAATCCTGAACCACCCCTTTAACACTAAAGCTCTTTCCTGATCATAACCCTTTATTTTCCAGTGATATTCTTATGAGCTTTTATCTTTTGTAATGTCTCTCAGCCATCCCTCTTTCTACAGTCTTTCTTCAAATCTACCTCTTGCTTGTTCTCTCTCCTACACTGTCTCCTAAAGCTGCTTGGCTACAAGTTTGTTGTTGTGTCTGTCTGACTAACTTTCAAACAGTGTTTTTCAAATATTGCTTACCCCAACTTTAAAGGGTCTATATTATATGTAGGATTCAGAAACCCTTGTTATTAGTGACACCGGTGGCCATTAAGTGAACTGCAGCTAGCAACTTTTTTCACACATTAACGTACAGGAGACTGAACGTGCCCAAAGACTATAGAATTACACAAGACACGTCACTCGTATTGTTTTGAATGTGGAAAAGTGCAAAGCTAAAAATAGTGGAATAAGTCCCGCCTTCTACATAAGAGCCAATAGCCGATTGGTGAAGTCATCGCGTCGCTGCAGCTGCCGTTAGAAGCTCTGGTACCTATAGAAACAGTCAGACGCACGCTTCCACTGCGCATGTGCCTTAGCTTGATCCAGCCTGAAAAATTTTGTTTTCTGTCATGATTTGAGCGTTTAGAAACAAAATTTATGAGACAGTTGTTGTCAGATTTCATTGGTGATTTCAAATATGACATTTAATTGTAAGCTTGGAAAACAGTTTTCGAGAATTTGATGTTTTCCCCATTCAAAGAGATAGGAGCTGCACTTGCATGGCGTTTCAAAGATGGCCGCCGAGTGAAATGACTTGTCTTAAAGGGACTTTGACGTGCCCCAATATACTCACGGCGAAATTTTTTTCCGTTCTTCACTAAAAGTAAAAAAGGGGCTGGATATACATTTGCAGCAATATAATGTTAACGAACATTCTGATGGTCCTTCGATAGACCTCGATTACCTGCTGCTATAGCTCCTATGAGGGGCCCGATGGTGACAGCCCAGGGGTAGTTCCAGGCCCCAATGACCAGCACAACTCCCAGGGGCTCAGGCTGGATGTAGACCTGGTCTGAGATGGTCATCATGCTCTTGCTCACGGGTCGAGGAGCTGCCCAATCTTTCAGCTCTCTCACAGCCAGGTTAATCTCACTCTCCAGACCCAGAGTCTCATACAAAGGAGTTCCAAACTCACTCTGTCGCCAAATATATAAAGCACATTTCACATAAGCAAACAGAGTTTAGAAGTGGACAATAACACAAGTGGATGGGTCACCAACCCTTCTGAGATCCTTTTTGAGGCCCTCTGCAATTTCATTCTGTCGTTCTCTGACAAAACGCAGCAGGTTTTTCAGCTGTGTAATGCGGTACTCCAGTGATTTGCTCCGGCCGGTGAGGAAGGCCTTCCTGGCACGCTCCACTGCTTTCTGCTCTCGAGACATACTGTGAAAGGGGAAGTCAATCATTTCACTCTGGTTACAATTCTGTCACATTTAGGTAAACTTCACACAATGATCTCATGGCAAGTCAAGTCAAGTCACCTTCATTTATATAGCGCTTTTAACAATATAGATTGTTTCAAAGCAGCTTTACAGTGATAATAGGAAATTAAAGAAACAAGAGATTGTTTTGGCTTTACAGCTCTAGAATAAAGTTATTGTCCAGCTGGCAGCTAAAGTTAGTTTTGATTGATTAATATATTATAAGTAAGGGCCAAGTATAATATCTATAATGGTTTGACATCTGAGCCCTTGAAAAGTGAATGATCATGATTCATGGAACAAACAAATCTTTCCAAAACTGTTGCATAATATCAGAAATCAGATGACAACTCATGACCCAAAACCTTTCTTCCTAGAGACATTGCGACACAGTGGTCTCTGCATGTTTAAAATGTTTTCAAAATCATCCCATAACATCTATTCTATTTTATGACTGTCATTTCTACTTAGTTTTCAGAGTTTCATGAGCAGTTTAATTCAAAGTGGCTGAAAAAGTGCAATGAGCTTATCGCTGCAGTTTATAACTTTGACACCACTTTAATTAAATAATAACTGTTATTATTAGTTATTTTGATTTAATTTAAATATATAATAAATAATAAAAATAAATTGTACTACTAAATTCATAATAATACTTTACTACTACGATAATAACAGTAATGATTATTATTATTACTAGCCTATAGTAGTATTTATTTCAAGTATGTAATTAATAAATACCTGTAGGTAATGAATAGTAAAGCATAGTTACTAATTAAGTAATCGAATAATCAAATAACCAATACTGTCATAAAAATGGACAGTATTAATAGAAAATAATAACTGTAACGTTTGTAGGTGACAGCCTTGAGTTTAGTCTGGCAGGAATGCAGCGAAGTTATGCAACACACATAGCGGGATATGAGACTGTCATACTAATGCGTGCATGCAGAAACACAATGAAATCAAGCATTTATTAGCCGTCCAAAGAGTTTCATATATAACTCATTTCTGAATAATATTATATGCGCTTAATGTCTCATTGTCTTGTGCAGTTGCAATTACAAGTTTATAACAGGCTGGAATATCAGGAGAAGAAACGGGATGAAACGGGTTCAGTTTCCTTGTACAGTAGCTAACGTTATACACGACATCGCTGTAGTCGAAGCCTAATATAGAACATCGATTAATACGCTTTCGAGAAGGACAACAAAAAACGGGCAGTACATTACCTTGGGTTATTGCACAGTGCACACAGTGCGTCCAGTCCTTTCGCTGTAAATGTTATGTGGCGATCAGATAAAGCCTCCGGATCAGATAGTTCAGTTAAGCGGAACGATGGTAAACATTAAACACTACAGTTCCGTTAACAGTCGACGGCTCGAGCGGAGGGGGCGGAGTCTCGATAGTGGGCGTGGCCACGACGCTTAGCAGCCAGCCCCGAGGCAGTGTATTTAGGTACAATAAACACACTCACAAAGGATTAACAAAGGATCAGAGCATGCTACGCTGCATTTGAGTTATTGCGTCACGTCAGATATCATATTCCCAGAATCATGCTTCCCCTCTGCCCTAACTCCTGTAATGCTAAATTTGTGAGATCTTTTTACTTCTCTGAATGCTTTTAAAACATGTAAATAGCTTACTTTATGTGATTTATTCTTGGCCAATTGTAAAAAAAAAAAGTCAGATTTTGTCAGTTAAATATTGCACGGAAACAGATAATGACAGACAATGTAAAGGCAACTGTATTAGTTATTTTTATATGAGTCAATGACAGAAAAATGAGACTGTGCTCTCCCAGTGGTCACAAATGTGACTTGCATGACTATTTGTCTTGTGAGCATTTATATATGAGTAATCTTATATTAATATATTATTTAAATTTAACACATTTTGTAGCTGTATGTGTATGTCATGTTTTAAATGGCGCTTTGATATAAATCGTATATTTTAGTGGAGCAAACTGTAGTTAAAGGGATAGTTCACCCAAAAATGAAAATGTTGTCATCATTTACTCACCCTCAAGTTCTTCCAAACCTGTATAAGTTTCTTTCTTCTGTTAAACATAAAAGAAGATATTTTGAAGAATGTTGGTAACCAGGCAGCTGACGGCACTCATTGACAAAGATTTCCATTGTAGGGAAAAACATAATATGGAAGTCAATGGCTACCGTCAACTGTCTGATTACCAACATTCTTCAAAATATCTTCTTTTATGTTCAACAGAAGAAATAAACTTATACAGGTTTGGAACAACAAGTAATGACATCATTTTAATTTTTGGGTGAACTATCCCTAAACCAGGGGTCTCAAACTCAACTTAACTGGGGGCCGCTGGAGGTAGAGTCGGGGTCAGGCTGGGCCTCATCAAGTATTCCACAAAAAATAGTATTCAAGTATTCCAAAAAAGGAGCACAACTGATCCAATCTTCTCAATCTTTATTATTAACGTTTCTTCTGAACTGTTCCTCTGAATTTGAACATTCCTTTCTGTACATGATTGGTTCTTCATGAGCTGTCCTTCTGACAGTTGAAGTTCATTTTTACAAACTTTCTTTGTCTATAACACATATTTGTGATATTTATATTTGCTTATGTCCTTTTTATTTTCTTTATACAACACATTAATGATATTGAATGTTTTTTTTTTTTTGGAAGGCACATTTCCTTTTATTATACTTAGAAAAACAATTATTGCTTTTGAAATACAAATATTTGCAGTCATGTCTGCCCGTCTTATTGAATTCTTTCTACACATGCCATGTCTCAGGCAAATGACTGACTTTGCACAAATCAAAGCAAAAACCGTCTTATTAACCTGTTGGACACATATTACAAGCTCAAAATGATTATTCTCACATTGTTTTAGAGCAGGGTCTCTCTCCAACACGTCGCTCGCGAGCTACCAGTAGCTCGTGGCCTGATTGGTGGTAGCTCGACAAGGGGCCGTTGCCGTTCACATATCGCGCTCACATATTTTGCGAGCTCAAGTTCGTTATTTCAAATGTAGGCGCGCGGCAAGCGCGCTCATAATTGAAGCGACGCGCTCATTTTTTCCAGGCGCAGTATGTTTGTACTTCGCGGTTGTCATTGACAACTATTGACAACAAACCCACCGTAAGCTGTCACGAAACTATCTATGGTAGCCCATAAGGGATAAAAAATATATATATATATTTTAAAACGCGGCACATGCAACGACGCACTAACATTAAACTTTAATGTCAAGTAGGGGGCCACAAAATATCACCCCGCGGGCCGCGACTTTGAGACCACTGCCCTAAACAGTTAGCCTGGCTCCGCCCTCCTACGCACTTCCGCTCAATTTTATTTTCCTTCAGTACTACGTCTGGGATTGTGCTGTAGACTTTGGTTTCCAGAAATAATTTTTTTACCGGTCCAATCAGCGAACAGAGGGAGTGGCTGAGAACGATGACGTTGATGTAGCGCGTCAGTTTGAGTTGGAGTTCAGTAATGGCAGCGGAGAAAGACGTGAGAAAATCTATTCGGTCCGTTGTTGCAAAACTGCCGAATATCCAGAAGTTAAAGCCAGAGCAAGATTATTGTTTGCTAAGTGTTGTTGGTGGCCATGATGTTGTGGCCCTCCTCCCCACGGGGTTCGGGAAAAGTTTAATTTTCCAGCTCACTCCGCTAGTGGTGAATGAGTTAGCTAAGGCGAACGATAGGATGCAAAGCCGATAGTTGTTGTCGTCTCCTCTTGTTGCACTAATGGAGGACCAAGTGAGGGAGGCAGAAAGGTTAGGAGTTGGTGCTGGGCAGCTCGGCGTGCACGATGATCACTGTACAGCATTTGCGGCAGATCCGAAACGACCGCAGCGGCGTATTCAGTGTTGCCAACTATTTTCAAAGGAAAGTAGCTAAGGCCTTCCCTAAAAGTCGCTAAATGTCGCTAGATGACGTCATACGTCAATTAGCATATTAATGACGTCATCGCGTCGTACTTGCGTTCTGTCAGCCTAGTGCGTTTTCTCTCTAAATTATTGCTCTATTTAACATAATATAGCCGAATGTCAAATAAAGCTGTTTTCATTTCCTTTTTTTTTTGTCAGACAATAGAACGAGTAGCTATAATATAGTGAATGATTACATTTTTTATTGGCCTATGTGGAACATTATCTGAATTGAGAGAGTTAGGGAACCGGATGAACTAAGCTCTGTGATAGTGAGTGTTACAAGTAATAAGCACAAGAAAATAAATAAAAATTAAAATGGTCAAACTAAATTCTTTAAATATAACAAAAGAAAAGCAGATAAGTGATAAGTCCATGGAAAAACACTGCTCATTCGCGTCTGTCAGCGGCCGTGCGCTCCTCTCAGCCATTCACTGAACAGGGGAGAAGCAGCGAGAGAGAGTGACGACAGGGAGAAAGCAAGACCTCGCGCTCGCAGGACAGTACTGGCAACATTTGGAGGTTACTGAGGTTTGTCCAAAAAGTCGCTAAAATTGTCGCTAGTCGCTTTTTTGAAAAAATGTCGCTAAAGGGGTCTGAAAAGTCGCTAAAAATAGCGACAAAGGCGCTAAGTTGGCAACACTGGGCGTATTGTTAATGATTACACCCAGCTTCGACAGTTGACTGAATACATCACTGTCCTTAGTGTCAAATATACATTTAGAATTTAGAATTGTTCCTTGAACTCTTAAATTCGATGAACAAAACATGCAGCTCTCGTTGACAGACATCTTATTCTAAACATAATCCTCTGATCATTCGGACTTGTTTTTTTTATTGCTTAAAACAATACACAAGTAATAACAGAAAACATAATACAAAAACAAACAAAAAATAATAATAAAAACAAAACAAAAATAAAACAGTAGGGGGATAATATAAAATAAACATGAACAAGTTAAGAGAATTACATGACACTGAAAAAAGGAAAATAATTACAAACAGATAATGTTTTTAAGGCTTTTTTTGTTCTCAGACAACTTAATTTAAAAGAGGTATTTTTAAAATTCTTTCACAAATATAAGAAAGAGAGGTTTAGCATTTAGATATTTAGATTTATGAATATGGAATTCGGACTTGTTGTTTCCAGCCGGTTTCGGCGCATGACATACGTCACGACCACACGTTAGCGATTGGCTATGGCAGATCCTGAGTGACGCTGGGCAGATCCAATAGTTTTGAACTTTAACAGAGAACCCGCCTACAAGGAAGTAAACGTTTCTCAATGGAGCGAGGCCAGACTCTCTGTACAAATGAAATGTACGAGAGTCTGGTAGAACCAGGCTACTAAACAGTGCCAATTATACAACAATTTAACACCATGTCAACATGTTCACATGAAAACAAGACAGCTTATAATACATCAACAATTCTTTTTAAACCCTTCAAACTTAAAAATAAACGACAGAAGAATTTGCTGATCATATTAAACAGTTTGGTTCTGCAAAGCTAATCGTTCTACATTTTAAAGCAATACAATATTTAGGATTTCTTTTGTGCCTTTTTTTGGACTTAAGCCCTCTACATTTTTAGTGGTCAGCAGGAACCAAACCGCATGTTGGTCACTTTTCATGCCTGTCATTCTTAACAGTGTTTTACCTTGTTGCTACAGACACTAGAGTTTTTGTGTGTCATCCATTTTTTTAAGAAGCTAAATTATAATTATAGAATTATAGAATTCAACTAATAAACTGCTTTTCAAATTCAGAGGCGGACAGAGTACAGAGCTTTGTTACTTGAGTAAAAGTACAGATACCCCTTGCTAAATTTTACTCAAGTACAAGTAAAATTACTACATTCAGATGTCTACTTAAGTAAAAGTACTAAAGTACTTGTTTTTAAAAGTACTTGAGTATCAAGAGTACAAGAGTAAATTTTCTAAATATTGCATTACTAATCTACTGCCACAGTGCTTACATTTATGCACAGAAACGTCCTACATGGAGTTATGAAAAATGTTAATGTTAATACCTTGGAGAATGTAAAAGGAATTGAAAGTAAAATCAAGTCATTTTCATCTTTTTACCATGTTGCTTTATTTAATTTAATACAATTTTTGGGGGGTCCCATCTTAAATGCGGGGACAACACACACACACACCACATGTAAGGGTGGCGCTGCCAATAAAGCACCTAAAAGCTGTCACAAAGAACCGGCAAAAGGAATGATTATGAATATGTAAAATATAGCAAGGAGATATTTTAATTGTTTATTAATAAACACTTGTTAATAAACAAGTGTTTTCTTTGTCAGTGTCGGCTAAGATGAAGTTGACGATGCTGACTCGCGATCTTCAGTGGTGAACGCGCCAGAGAGAAATGCACATTTCATACGGATTACATAAGCAGAGAGCAGAGAGC